TAGGTTTTTGGCTACTGTAGCAGCTGTAGCGACTGTAAGAGTGCGCTTCGCCTTGATTGCAACATAGTCCGCGTTTTGATCATCGTAATTCCCATAATATGAAGGAATGTTAGACTGCTGGGGCATTTTGGAAGTTATAAGCATTGCTGAGACTCTGTTTAGAGCAACAACATCTAGAAATCAGAGGTTGTAACTTGGATAAATGCTTTAGATTTGTGTGTGTATGATCACTATTTCGACCTCCGTGTTGTTTTAGGGGCATTATTTTCATGCATGAAGCATAAATTCAACTTTAACGTTACCTTTACTGAACCTCGCACTAACTTTAAGGTTGAAAATAACTTCTTTTCCACGTCATATTTTATATTTAGGAGTCTTAATGTCTCATTAATACTATTAAGTACATTTTTCTGTTGATCGTTTGACTGCTATGACATTTTGCAGTATTTTTTCCAATAACAGCGAGAAAGAGCTTTATTCTTAGTGTAAATACATGCATTATTTGCATGCAATACAATGCATTGGTTGTAAACTAGAATTTACTGTTTTAGTTTGTGCAATGACTTGTTGCACTAAATAATTCATGTTTTGCGTATACCATATGCAAGCCCCATCGGATACCACGTAAATAATGATAGTATGTGTTGATGATTTGGACACGGCGGTAAACGTGAAATTTCAAACTTTTTGTTAAAGCAGTATTAGTATCCAGGGCAGATACATTTCCTAATGCTATAAGTGCAAGTCTGTTTAGGTGAACAGTAACTTGATTGCAAGCTGAGCATAGAATTAGGAGGTCCCCAAAGAGAACAAACTGAAAGGTGATGCAATCAGCCTACTAGAAAACTGGTGATATTTGCATCTGGTTCTTCAGTTGCGTATTAAGAGCGTATCTACATAAACTGCCGAGGGACGATAAGGACAGAAAACTGATTGAATGACAGTATGCTTTTTTCTTTTGTACAACAGCCATCACTAAAATTATAGAAAAGATTTATTCTCTTTTAATACCATGTTTGTATCAAGGAGTACGGTAACTGTGTCTGTGCTGACTACTGTCAAATGCGCTTGCGTACGCGCAACAGTAACGTGATTGACTGGTTACACCTGAGTGATCTTTTAGAGCACGGTCTCGAATGGACCGGTAACGTGTCGGCGAGGAAAAAGCGGAAGCCGTACACAAAATACCAGACATTAGAATTGGAAAAGGAGTTTCTGTTCAACGCGTACGTTTCGAAACAAAAGCGGTGGGAGCTGGCCCGGAACTTGAACCTTACGGAACGGCAAGTGAAGATATGGTTTCAGAACAGACGCATGAAACAGAAGAAGCAGCAGCAGCGCTCGCAGGCGGAGTCGACGTCGACGTCGCAAATCTCGTTGCAGCAGCAGACCGCTTCATCGACCAACTCCGAATGAGACAGCAGCCAGCGATGAAGACGAAGCCAACATGGACAACGGACGACAGTTGTGCGTAGGACTGACCGACGATAACGACGACGATAAAGCCTGTCAGCTTGTCCCTCCCTCCGTTCCTCTTTGTCCACCAAAGATTTCTCCTCTACAGATTCTTGTCCTTCGACGACGGCGACCGTCAGACCGATGCTCGCTTTGTCTTTATGCCGCTAAGGTACAGACAGCCGCCGCCGCCGGCCACACCTCCCGCGAATCTACAGTCACCGTAGCAGCGACCCAAACGAACGAATAAGAACGTTCGACGGTTCAGCAGCTAGTTGCGCTGGTGGTGTGTAATATTTTGTCAATGTGCATCTTGTTTATCCGCCGATGACCTACGTTAGTCGCGATGTTATG